GAATTGTATAATTAATTTTGTCTAGCTTTATACTTTTCGTATTCATTAATAATATTTCTTAACTGATGACAATATACATCCTAGTTACATTATCCTTGTACTCATTTTTTTTTAAATCGGTAATTTCTATTTGATTTTTCCATTAAAAAATAAAAGACAATCTATTGTATTTCAATAGTATTTGGTTGTATACAAATATATGTAATGTCTTCTTCTGAATTTTTTTTTTCAATATTTACTCCGACTAGTTTGCTCAGAATACTAGTAATCGGCTCAGTTTTTGATTCTTCTCGTATTTTTCCGATTTGAATCATGTGAGTTATTACCGAATTTATTGCTAATATTAAAATGTAAAACATCTGTAGCTTGACAAAAGTATGATCATTTATAATTTCAAAATGTAATATCCAACCAGTGGAACCATCTTCTGATAAAACATACGTATTATCAGTTTTTTTTTTATTGTATAATAAATACTTTGATAAACAATCCCATTATATATACATTTCTGATATATCATTCTATCTTCGGGTTTCAACGTATAATGTGATTTATTTTTTATTACTGTTACTTTATCTGCTGTACAATAAATATTTTTGATAAATTTTTTGCGACAAACTATTTCCTTACATAAAATCCATGTCCATGATTCTCCATTGTCATTAGAATTTAAAATATCTTCATAATTATTTTTCCTCAATATACAATTTGCTACTTGATCTAGTACACCCTTAGGACTTGTAATGAAAGTTTTTAATTTAAAGATATTGCTTTCGAATGGATAAGCTGAGTTTCCCCACAATGGTCCATTTTTTCGTGTGCTACTTACTATATGAAGTAATGAATGAACATTAAAAGTCATGAATTCATCACCATACAGTATTTGGCAATCTTCCACAAATCTTAATAAATCTATTTTACACTGAACGAGATCATCGTCAGTAATACGCATAGAAAGTAATTTATGAACTGATTTGGCTAACAAACAAAAAGACTGTAGAGCTTCATCATCTAATATACCTGATAAGCACGGAATACTATAATGTAAAAGCCAAGACCTCCATTCTGTGGCTTTCCATTTACTTTTATCTGATAACAATCGAGGTACACGATGAATTTCCTTTACTGGATGAATCTTAACTAAACGATTATTGATAGTATTACAGTCTGCAGAATTAAGAAAACCTGTACTCGTCCATCTATCCCAGAGTTGCCGTCCAACACCTAATAAAATTCTATGCATGTATTCGCATGGAAATCCCCAAACACAGTCGAACCCTCGTAAATCACTCAATATTGATGAACTTTTTACACCATGAACAATAATTTTGTTTGATTTATTATTAGATTTTTGCTGTCTTACACGTAATTCTATTTCCCTCACATTTTTTAAATAACTTTTATGAGTACGGTCTTCAATAGTTTCTGAGGTTACTAAATATCTCATGCTGCCGTGTGCATAGCGCCAACTACATCCGTCATATCCATTAAATTGGATTCTATTTTGCATGAATGACCTAGCGACAGAATCAACTGGCATACTTAATACCATGATATAGATAATTTCTTTCTCTTCATTAGCATTCACAATTTCTACTCCACTCTTCATCAGTTTCTTCATCTAATCAACGAAATATTGTAGATATAATTTCATGAAATCAGGAGTTGGTTCAACTGTGGTATACCACAAAGTTTCAAGAAGTATAATTTTAAATCGCAGATTTGCCGGTAGTTCATTAATTATGCACTCCAACGGCCAAAAACTATATTTTCCACTGTGAAATTGTGGAGCGCCATCAGTATTAACATTTAATGTTAATACTATTTTATTAGATGCTTCTTTTGATTTCATAAATTTACAATGGTATCGGTCGCCATCATAGATATCAATGATATCCATATTTTTATCTTCTCGTTTTCTTTTAATACGATCAATATTATCATAAATTTTTGATTGTAAATCAATATTCGACAATAAAGACTTGATTTGGTACTCCAAATCAATAGTCAAAAACCAATTATTAAAAGAAGTACTTAGTATGAATTGCTTTTGCATTCATTACAAGCTACTTTTTTTTTAGTCCTTAGAGTTTTTTTGAAATTGGTTCATAAAGTGCGATATTACAAAATTTACAATGAAATACATAGCTAATGATGCCGTCTGGTGCACTAAATAATTGACTAATTAAATACTTCGAAATGTCGAGATTCTCAAAATCAGGACCCCCTAGTTTCTTCAGCACATCCAGAGTTGCTGTAATTGCTTCATCACTCCAATTAAATCTTAAAGCAAGTGCTAATACTATGTTAAATACTTCCCAAACAAATGCGTTTGATTGTGGAAACATAATCCAAGTACTCAAATAACTATCATCTGAGTCATTATGATTTGCTGGATTATTATTATTCGCAGCAACATGTTCAGAACTTGATCGAGGTACATGAGCATCATTATTGTCATTACAGCTACTTTGTAATATTGTGGATTCACTTTCATTATCTTCAGATTCTTCGTCAGAGCTTGATTGAGATGTGCATGGATTGTTATTGTCGCTACAGCTACTCTGAAATCTTGCAAACTCTTGATCTTCATGATTATTTTTGTCATTAGAACTTGACTGCAGAATTTGCTGTTCGTTTTTATTATTACAGCTATTTCTAGATGTTATTGATTCCTCTGCTTCGCTTTCATATTGTTGATCTACGTAAAATAAAGTAAGATAACTTCATCCATATTTATTATTCAGTTTATAATAATGAAGATACATAAAATGATATATAAAAAGTGAATGACATTACCTAAATAACTATTGGATATTCTTGTACCTGTACGTGCTCGCTTTCCACACTGATAAGTCATGATTTTTACACTTTTTTAAATCTAAATCAACGTTGCCATCTCTACAATTTCATTTACCATTTCATTGACTAAATCGTTGCAAAAATCTACGATAATTTTATCAAATGAATAATCAGTACGTTAATGATGATTTAATATTTTTTTAAATACAATTAATGATGTTACAAATATTTTTAATTAATTACTTGATACCTAAATGATATATTACGAGGTAGATTATTGCAACAATCTAATTAGAAGACAACCTGAATTACTGAACGGCTGCAGCCCCGGCTCACCCTCAAACCTGAGGGAGTCGGGTGTCTGTAGGATAAACCCATCTAGTCAGACCCCAGGTGGGTCGGAGCCCTGGGATCCCTGGCCAGACACTTCTGACGAATTGCAAGATGATAATATTAATAGCTAATAGAATTCATTCGAGGCTTCCATAGATCAATTAGATTTCCAAAATTAAGAAAAGGACAATTGCACTTAGAAATAAAATGGGAAGAAAACGTGTAAACCACTGCAATGATTTATGAGTGTGTAAAAATTAGACTCTTAAATAGGTAGTCTGTACTTGATAATCACATGATTTACGATCAATTAAATGAAAGATTTTTTCCACGAAACATTTTTAAATATCTGTACGGTCTCAAGAAGTAAGAGAAACCGGATCCCTTAGAAGCTTCTTTGGTAAGGCTCTAATCATAATAGGACATGTTTCAGTGTCAAAAAAAATTATGAGAGCGAGAAAGCTGTTAGATTTGGAGGGCTCGATTATTGCTATCATTTAGAATGTTTTGTGAAACTTTAATGTGATTTAGAATTTTTTGGAGTAGGAAAAAAACTTCCTGGATTAAAAATGTAGAAGTCAGAGTCTCGTGAATAAACAACTCGTGAGTAAGTGAGTCTCGTGAATAAACAACAGCCATCGACAAAACTAAATCTTTCATCAGTATCTAAAAAAGTTAAAAAAAAATTAGTTGATCCTGCGTGTGACTTCGATACCTTAACTAATGATTGTCACCACCCGGACTTCGCTGTAACAAGCTTCGAAGATCGTCAAACGATCAAGCTTTAACGGTCGTCAAACTTGATGATTCTTAAATTTATCTAATATTAGCGGGAAAATATATTTGGATTTATAACAATATATGTTCATGATTTTATTTCATTGTAAACCTAAAATAAACCGTTTAACATAATATGGTCATTTTCTTTTCGTTATGCAAAGTGTTTTGTTTCATATCGGTTGATAATAATAAGAAATATTTTTTTAATTTTTACAAGTCCACGGATACACGGTTGAAAAAGATGTTTTTAACGGAAATCTATTAGCCACGGGTTCACGGATACACGGGTACACGGTTGGAAAAGATATTCATATCGAAAATTTTATTTACCACGGATACACGGGTACGCAGTTGAAGAAAATACATGGACACCCGTGTTTCCGTGTAGGGGCAGTTAAAAAACGGTCATATTTCCCCGTGTAGTCATTTCCGTGTTCCCGTGTTTTCCGTGTATGGTCACTCTAGACACTGCGCAGAGTATGCCAAAAGTGGCAGAGCCTCATGTCGTTTTTGTAATGGAACTATTGAAAAAGATTCTTTGCGAATTAGCAAACGAGTACGAGTATGTTGAAAAGTTTGTTGAATTATATGTGCCAAAAATTTTATTTTAATTTTTTAACATGCATAATAAAACAATTTTATTCTATTCTTAGAGTTCTTATTTCGATAATATGAGTGAACATTGGTATCATGTCGATGGTATTTTTTCGATTCCTCTGAAGCCTGCATCTGTTGCATTAATTGGTAATTTTGATAACATTCAATGGAACGACCAGGAACTTCTGAAACAAAAAGTAGGTAAGTATAAATGAAAATCCAATATTAATTATTGTAATAATTGTAAAGAAATGTCATAATAGAATAAATATTTTACTTGTAATTTTACATTAATAACAATATTAAAATTATTAGTTGTAATATTTTAAGGCCAACATGGAGTTCAAAAATCTTGAATATCGTATGAAAAAGCTAGGTAGAAAAATAGAAAAAAAAACGTTGCCTATACGTATGTTGAAAACATAGTAGATAAGTTATTAACAATAAAAATATTTAAATAACTAACGCATTCACGATACATTTGGCATACCCCTGATATGGTTTTTTCATCGAATTTTTAGATTTTTATAACATCGTTAAACTAAATTTTTAAAACTTTTTCCTTATATGAAATTTTATATCTTTTTGGTAGCAAAAAAAATTATTAAAACATAATGTTTTTTAGAAAGTGAAGAAATGAATTTAATTCAATTTTAATTATTTAATAAAAATGTATTAGCTTTAATATTTCTATTTTATTGTAATAATTATCAATTTAAATTTTCTATTTCAGGAAGAAGGCGCTCTGAACCAACGAAAGGCACCTCAAAGGTGATGGTTGTTTCCCCAATAACTCTCAAACGACCAACATTAGACGATTTTGACAACTATAGAATCGAATACGCTCGATCTAGTGATACAGAATGTTACTGTAAAGATTTAATCGAAGAAGGTGAGATTCAAGTCTGCAAAAAAGAAGAAGATACAGGACTTTTTGTAGATTGGCATCATCTTCGATGTTGGGCTGATCTTCGAGATGATTTCAAATTTTTTTCATCAGGAAGTTGTCTTCCTGGATTTCATAATCTGGATAAAAGAAACCAAGCTATTGTTTTAGAAAAACTTCCACCAGTCAATAATGAAAATCTACCTCCTGCAGCCAAACGCGCACATCTGAATACCGTAAAAACAGCAGGAATGAATGATATGGATATTAAAATGATGATTCAGAATGAAAAATTCTTCAATATGAGAAATAAGTTGGAAAATCAGAAAGTTACTTAGGAGGATATGCTTGCTAAGGAGGATAATACAATAATCAAAGGTGGGCTAGATCTCTTGATGATTTAAGAGATGTAGTTGCCGACCGACTAGCTTTTGGATCAGTAAGTGAATGTCAACAATGTTCTGGAAGAAGAAAATTCATTTCTGGTTTCGGATATGTATGTACCCAATGTGATGACATTAGTAAAAGCCCTCCAAAAAGTAAATTTAAAATTCCTCTTAATTTAAAAGAAAAATATGAATTTCTTAAATTTTTGACATGATGGAGTTTAAGCAATCTGATTGTCATGAAATTATTGATCGTGATAAGCTGACAGACTCAGTATACTATAAGAATTCTATAATAGATCCAAAAACGGATTTTCAAGGAGTTGCCAATGTTTATCAGTGTAACGGCACAAAATATGTTGCTACTCTTGGATTCACAGATATTAAAGCCGGTTATAATTCCTTTTACAAGCTACTAATTTTGCAATATTGTAACCAAGAAAAATACTCTTTTTTTCGTAGTTGGGGCAGAACCGGTACCCAAATAGGAAGTTCAAAAGTGGATATAATGCCGCTTGATATGTGCATAACGATGTTTGAAACTGTATTTTTTGAAAAAACTGGAAAATATGGAGTAAACGATTTCAATTTAGCAAACATCCGTATAAAATGCACCTAATAAATCCAAGATGGTGTAGATTTCACTCAATTAACGAATCTCAATTCACAAATAAAAAGTAAATTATAGGTAAAGATACAAAATCTCATGAATTTAATTTTCAATATAAATGTTATGAACAATTTAATGATAGATTTCACAATTGATATAGACAGAATGCCTTTGGGAAAATTATCCCAAAATCAAATAGAGAAAGCTTACAAAGTATTGCAAGAACTTCAGGATTTAGTTTTGTGTAGTACTTCTACTAAAACAGCATTTGTTGATGCATCCAATAGATTTTACACATTAATTTGGTATTACTGTGCCACCAATTATCGATAATACGACTATGATTAAACAAAAATGTGACATGCTAAATGCATTAATCGACATAGAAATTTCCTATAATCTTATTAATCATCAATCTAATAAGGATCAACATCCTCTAGATGCTCACTACGAAAAACTTAATACTGAAATTGATATTCTTGACAGCGATAGTGAAGAATACAAAATGATTGAAAAATATGCAAAAAATACACACGCTCATACTCATTCGGATTATACATTGCAGATTGAAAATTTTTTTAAAATCGAACGCCATGGCGAAGCTAATAGGTATCAACTTTTCGAAAGGCTCCATAACAAAAAGCTTTATGGCATGGATCACGTACAACGAATTTTGCTGGAATCTTATCTCAAGGCTTAAGGATTGCGCCTCCAGAAGCTCCAACTAGTGGTTACATGTCTGGAAAGGGGATTTATTTCGCAGATATGATATCTTAATCAGCTAATTATTGTTTTGCTGACAATAAAAACCCTACTGGTCTCCTATTACTTTGCGAAGTTGCTTTAGGTAATATGTATGAAAAGCATAGAGCATCCCCGAACTTTAGATTACCTCAAAATAAAGATTCTACCTTCGGTAGGGGAAAAACTTTTTCACATCCAAATGAATTGTATAGGTTCGTTAATGGAACTGAAGTTCCTTATGGAACTCCAGTTTACGACTTGGATGCAACTGATTTACAATTATTGTATAATGAGTATATTGTATACAATCCTGCTCAAGTTAGAACTCGATATTTAGTTCAAGTAAAATTTAATTTTAGATCTTAATTATAAACTTATTCATACTTTTGGAATTAACCTTCTAAATGGCCAAATAAGGGAAAACTTTTCGCAGAAATAGAGTAAAGTAAATATTGTCTAATTTTCAAAAGCTATGGCTTAAATTGTAAGAATACAAGTATTTCAATAACGAAAAATATAACAGTTTTATAATTATTATAAACAATAAATACTTAGTTAAATTTGCCAAAGTTTCAATAATTAAAAACATTTATTTACTGTACAAATATTTACTCTACTTAATTTATCTGCTTAGAAATCTTTAATTTTGATATAGCTGATAAGTTTTTTTTTTCATTGGTTACAATTTGATCAATAATTACCTAAACTATCACGAAATTGTTGCATGTGATGGAAAAAAATTAGTCAGAAACTTCATTTAAATTCCTATGTTGGCATTAAATTTTAAGTTCATTTTTCCTCTCATCAGTGTAAATGTTTGAAATAACAATATTATGTTGTATATTATTTATATTATATAAAGAAATTTTAGTTTAATAATTTTAAATTATCGTTAGTTCAGTATCAGAAAATTTTCTAAAATAGTTGACATATTTTTAAACATAGTATTACATTGTTAAATATTAGTTATAATTTTAGAAAAAGTTACTATAAGACAAAATTTATATTTGTTGAAAATATATTATAGTTTTTCTATTTTTATAGTATCCAAAAAATATTATTACCTAATTTCGATTTTCCATGATATTACATTCTATTTATATATGAAAATTGCAAAGAATTTGTATGTAATGTTAAACAAATATTTTTTATTCAAAGAAATAAATAAATTGATGTTGTGTATGTAAAAATATCACGGTAATTTAATGAACTTTATAATCTGAGAATTTATTGATCAAACACTTAAAAACATTAGTTTGAAACCTATGGAGTCTTAGTAAGTTTTTCAATAAACTCTTTAAAGCATTTATTTTTAATTAACTAGCCACACATAAACAAACATGCCGGCAAAAAAAAAAAAAGGAAATAAATTAGCAAAAATGAGTGATGAAGAGAGATTGAGATATCTTCAACATCGAGCTGAAGTTGAATTAGAAGCTAAAAGACGTAAACAACAGCTTATTGCTGCATTTGCAAAAAATAAATTAAGACGGGAAGAAGGATTTTTTCGACTTAATACTTCTAAAATTAATGAACAATGGAGATTTCATTTGAGACAGATTAAGTGTAAAGAATTATATGATGAAGTAGGGTATCTTTGGAAAAATTTTGACTATATTTTACGAACTAAAAATGCTATTATTAAAACACTGTATGAAGATTTAGAAAAATCTGATATCAATCATCGAAGGTTACAAGAAGTTCATATAGAAATGATTGATAAGTTAATTAAAAATCACAAAAGAAGTTTAGAATCCTTACATGAACACTACATAAAATCGGTTATGTTGATAAAATTTGGAGAAATCCGTGAAATGAACCAAGCTCAAGAAAAGCTACATGATGGCTGTGAACATATAGAAATAATTTTGTATGCACAACAAAAACTTATTGATGATAAATTGATGATAACAAGAACACGAAATGCAATCAATACATATAATATTGAATATACTGTAAGTATGATTCAAAGCAAAATATTAACAGAATAATTTAGTGATGAAAAAATACTCATTAGGTTTTTTCCAGAAAATTGAAGCTGTTTTAGAAATGAAACAACAAATTGGTACCAAAATGATTGAACATTGGAGAAAATTTAATAAAATAATTTCAGGATATCAATATGTAACACTAGACAAATGGAAACAGTATGAAAACTTGAAGACATTAGATGAAGATCATAAACGTGAAACAACCAATTTCCCTCAATTATTGTCAGTTCTCAATATTACTATTGAATCACTCAGAAATCGAGAGAACGCTTTAACCGATGAAAGAAATAAAATTATAATTAAATTGAAAAAGGAAATAGAAATGTTAAGGGCCCACATTTTCAAGCTTAGACAAAAAATAAATATAGATCAGGCAATGAATAAAATTCAACTAAAAAGATTAACTGTTATTAGTAATAAAGTTATTGAAAAATTAGAAAAAGTTGATCAAAAAAGTCACGCGCTCAAAGTGATGATAAATATTTGTTCAAATTTTGAACCTCTTATAGTATATAATGATAGGTATATTCTCGAACAAGTGGATACATTTTTACAGGATGAAGGAGATGTAGACTTAATAATAAGTCCTTATGAGCAACTTGAAAAATTTTGGAAGCAATTCAGCTATATAAAAGTTAAAAATTTTTTAATAATAAAGCAATATAATCAATTAATAGCGGAAAATCAAAAATTAAAACAATTTGTTCGTTCTTATTTCAATTCTGGTACACGATCATCGACTGCTAAATTATTATATTAAAACAAATTACTCTCAAATAAATAAAGATAATAATAAAAAACAAAAAAATAAAGTAATACTTGAAATGAATCTTTATTCTACTTATTAGACAATATTATCAGATTTTACGAAAATTATAGTAATAACAGTCTACTTTTAACGCTGAGTAAAAATACCACCTCCAAGAGCTAAATATTTATAAGGTCTTTCCCTTATTCGTCCTTTGACTGGATGAAAGAAGATTTTTTCTCGAGGCGCCATATTTTCAGTTTCTAAGTAAATATCAAAACATGTTCTAAGTCGATGGAGTTGATTTGATAGAATTGGAGGTCTATCCCACATCACATTGACTTCTCGTTCAATATCACGTACAATATCTAGCGATGATGTTATTGAAGAACTGATATTGACAGTAATCACCGCGGGTACTTTTGGATAATCTGGTTTTATAGCAATATGTGCAATTAGGTCATCTGTAACAGATTTTTTTTCTACATTAATCCATAAAATTAAGTGAATAAAAATATTACACATATGAGTTTATTTTCTTTATACTTACTAGTTCCACGACGGAGCACAGCCTCATAAAAAATGTCTGTAGGCAGAACAAAATGTTTAGAGATTTTCTGAGTGTCAGGATAGTTGGAATAACTTCTCCAAGATATGATTGAAAATTTATGTAGGTTTGTTGATATTTTTGTAGGACTTAAATCAGTTCCATTACTAGATACCGGTAAATTACCAGACTCTAATTGACGAATTTCATTACAGAGATCTAATCGTGCTTTAACTCGACGTTTTATTTCCTTCAAGATACTATCAACACTATTTTTAGAGAGCTGATGGTGTGTAACATTATTTTCAATATTTATATCAGATATAAAATTTAATCCTGCCATTCTTTGAGTCCATTTGTATGGAGTACCAAGACCAAGAGATGAAAAAGGTATGGCGTTAAAGCGCATTAATTGATAACTGTTAGCGGGATTTGGACTTTCTGTACCAGTATCCTTTGGATATAATTCTCGAAGAATAGATTCAGAGTTAAGCATGTCTTCTGTTGATGCATTGTTAAGTTCACCTATATCTAAGCGAGATTCTACTGTGATAATTTTTAAGCATGTCAAGTAGTAAAAACTTAATGTCATTTTTGTATCGCTATTAATGTTAATAATGATCATTACACTTAAAGGATGTTTTTGTAAGATTCTCAACTTTTTCTCTTCTTCCCTTGCCTCTTTAGATAATCGATGATGACGTTTTTTATGAACTGGAATTTCATCTGGAACATTTTCAGACTGAATTTCTTGGTCTGAATCTGAATCTTGAATTCCTTCATTATTGTTGAGCCTTTTAGCATCGTCTTCATCACCTTCCACTGTCACAATTAATGAGTTATCATATGCATCACGATATGCTATGGCTTTAGCATAGAGCACATACAAAGATGATGGTAACAACGATGCTTTTTGATATTCTTTGTGAACTTTATCAATAGGAAGTCCTAGACTATTCTGAAGAGGTTTACTTGCTTCTAATATTATTCGTAATTGAGGTCCAAGATTATCAAGACGTTGTTGTTTAGACTCAATATTTTGAGCGACACTTTTTTTGTTTTCTGTCAATTCGTCACAAAGAGATGCAAGTTGCTTCCTTTGAGTTAATTCCCATTCTAAACGAGCAAGACGTAATTTGTGTGCATCATTTTTTGTTATGTTTGGTTGAGAAATACTTTCAGGTGCTTCTTTATAAAATTCTTCAATGGGTACAAGTTCAATCAATTCATCTTTTGATCTAAAAAATTGCAATATAAGTTTTAGAAAAATTTTTCAGAAAAATTCTGAAGTTTACTTTTAATTAAAATATTTACTTGAATTGTAAGCACTTAATTACTTCTTTTTTTAAATGCATGACTTCATAAAGCAAGTTTTGCAGCTGGAGATGTCTGCTATCGACTCCACTTTTAGCTATCGTTAGAGAATCTCTAGCAAACTTAGTTCTAAACTTTTCCATTCTATTAAGTTTTTTTAATTCAACAAATGCTAATGCTGTTTTTATTTGAAGCTCATGAATCTCATCCTTTGCCTAAAAGTTAAAAAAATAATTGCTTTATTGATAAACAATGTAAGTTACTATAAAAATAAATTATATTGTTTTTCAACCTTTGGATCATTGCTTGTTTTTAACTTGGCTATTTCACTCATAGCTTCCCTAATACTGTCACATGTTGAGAGAAATATTTCAGAGTCTTTTTCTGGTGAACGTTTTAGTGCTTCTTCCTCTTCGAAGGTTATGGTCATCTACGAAAAGTAAAAATAATTCGAGAAAAACCGTTAATATAATAATCATAATTATAATATCAATAAAAATTGAACAATGAATTTTAATTCATAAACATAATTGTTAAAAACGATATATTTTAAATAACAATTATGAAAATTCCTAACCTTATACATATCATTTTCCTTATTAGTTATTGTACTTGCATTGCTGCTATTACTATTAATAGATTTTCTTCTTTTTTTTGCATTTTCGGTATCACTTTCTTTAGTCATGTTGTATTGAATTAAAAGGTACAAGTTATTCTAAAAATTTACAATTTTAAGAAACGTTAGAAAGAAAGAAGAATTATGTATACACACATAAACTTACAAAGCTATTATAATGTATGACACATGTCCGATGTTAATCAAATCTAAATAGCTACAATAAATAATTTTCAAAACTTGATAATAATATTAATGAATAAAACATAAAATATTTTATTACAAGGAAAAAAATACCGATAACCTAAAAAAAATTCTACCTTTGACCCCGACGTGATTTGAACACGCAACCTTCTGATCTGGAGTCAGACGCGCTACCGTTGCGCCACGGAGTCATCTTTAAATTAAACAGAACAATAATTAATTGTATTATTGACACAAGTAACCTTGTAATATGTTATTATTATTAATAACGAAGAAAAAAAAACTATACGGAATATTTAACACTTAATATGGATAAAAAAATTATTCATATGTATGTAGTAAATAAATTTATGCTCCATGAAATCATATTAAAATTCCATAGTTTAATAAAAGAACATGATCAGTTTCGACGCGGGATATTCAAATATCTCTTAAGTTGATTTATGTTGTGTAATTGTATCATCACTATTGTAATCGTAAAATAATCGCAGAATTTTAATGAAGAGGTGGGGAAAATAAGTAAATTCATTACTTCGTCAAATCAGTCAAGTACAGAGGCAATTTTAAAACAGCGTAAAAAGAGTGAAATAACTTTAACTATTTAAATTAAATTCAGTGAAGGTAAATTTATATAAATTTTACAATAAAAATGCTAGCGATTAAATTGCAATCACTACATTGATATTATTATATCGATTTCAGTCATAAAAACCGATAGTTTAAAGTTAAATTCAATGCAAGTTAATAAATTGCACTTACACAATGACGGTAAACGGTAAAGATAACATGATCATCACCGATAAGACGGTAAAATCACCAGGTATAATAATTACGTATCAATTAATTATTTTTAATTTAAATTTTACTAAATGATAATTGAAAATGCAAATAAGTAAATTCAATTTTGAGTTGGTAATTTTTTGAGAAATTATTGTTAAAAATAAGTTGTCCAGTGAATTGAATTTCTATAGAATGACCGAGTCATAGAGAAATCAAAGAAAAATAATCAACTATTGTGCGATATCAATTTAGATTTGTGTAATCATTTGAGCTTTGTTATTCTAAGTGCATTTGATAAAAAATAAAAATTATATACTATATTGAATGAAATTTTTTATCAATTTGTTATTTTTTTTTTTTCTCGATAAGGTGGTCTTGGAATCAGACATTTACAATGTTTGTTGCTATTTTTTGGTGTGACGATTGCTTATGGAAATCGTCTTTGCATGTCTGTTGCCATCATTGCAATGAAAGGCGAAGAAAAAGTAAGTCTACTATTTTGTAGAAATTAAAATATATAACTAATAAAGATGCCTGAAATACGGCTAAAGAATTGTATTATTTACAATAATTCGATGAAGATCAATTTAAATCTTATTTTATAACGATCTCAAGTTTATAAATTATCATTAAATAACGTTTAAAAGTTATAAAAAATCTATCTGAAAGTTTAAATCAACTAATTTAAAGTATTTGTTTAACTATTGTTTAATTATTCAAGTGGCTTCCGGCATTCAACAGTTGTTTATTACTTTTTTCCCTAAAGACTATATGTAAATTATGAAAAAATCTTTTTCAAAAAAATTAAATCGAAAGTAATAAATTTTTTTACTTTATAAGATTTTAAAACGATTTAATTAATCAAGTATTTACTGACCTTAGTATTATGATAAAAATAAGTAAGATAGCGTAATTAAAATGATCAGAAGAGTATTTAATCAATTAGAATCAACACAATATAATGTATTTATAGGAAAATGGATTAAATTCCGCAAATGGTGGTATCGTGTTGAGTTCTTTCTTTTGGGGCTATACATTGATGCAAATACCATCTGGATATTTTGCCAAAGAATGGAGTGCAAAGTTAATTTTAGGCTGGGGAGTATTGATCAATGGATTATCATGTATTCTAGTACCATTTGGTAACGATCATGGTGGTTGGCGAGTTATTTGTGCTTTTAGAGTCATCATGGGCCTGAGTCAAGCTTGTCTTCTTCCTTGTGTGCATACTCTTTTATCAAAGTGGGTTCCACCACGAGAAAGGGGGAGATTAGGTAGTTTAACTTACTCAGGTGCTCAATTTGGAACTGTTGTAAGTTATCCGATATCTGGACTATTGGTACAATACATGGGATGGAGAAGTGTTTTTTATTTTTTCGGAGTTGCTGCTATTTGTTGGTCTATTATTTTTATTCTCTATGGATCAGATTCACCAACCAATCCTACTCATTCATGGGTACTTAATTGCTGCATCATAAGCGAACCCGAGAAGAAGTATATTGAGAGTAGCTCTGGAAATAAATCAACAATAAAAGTAAGCATACAAAGCTGACATTTATTAGAGATGATGAATAAATAAATTTATTGGTGGAAAATTTTCACTGGAATGTAATGACTCATTTATGATAAAATTTTTATTAATTAAGATTAATTTATTCATTCATTTCTTGAAATATCAATATATTTGATTGACGATAATAATTTAAATTTTTTTCATGGTAGAAAAATAATTATTAATATCATTATTTATAATTAATTGAGAAAATTATTATTAATTAATTTTTATCTCTATTTTCATGATAAACTTTTTGTTTATTTTACCAATCTTGCTCATTCTCAAGAATGATTTCTTTCATATAATCAACAGTTTAAAGCTTAATTATTTGATGTAAAATTGTAACAATTAAAAAAAATGATTATAGAAAAATTTAAAAACACCATGGGGACGTATTCTTTCATCAACGCCGTTCTGGGCTTTAGCAGTGGCTCATTGTGGTCAAAACTGGGGTTTTTGGATGTTATTAACAGAAATGCCTACTTATATGGCACGTGTTCTTGACTTTGATTACGAAGAGGTAAAAATTTAATTATTATTAAGAAACAACAAACAGTTTATAAAAACTTGATAAATCATTTTAGAATGGTTTAATATCGGCGCTACCATATCTGACGATGCTGTTATTGACATTTCCAGTGAGTTGGTTATCAGATTGGATACAAAAGAAAGGCGTATCAAGAGGTTTAACTCGAAAAATTTCCAATTCCATCGGTCATTGGGGCCCAGGATTAGCATTGTTCGGATTGGCTTTTGTTCCAAGGAACATGAAAACTCTTGCAGTTGTTATGTTAATAATTGCCGTAGGTTTGAACGTTGGCTCTCTATGCGGATTTCAACTAAATCATATCGATTTAAGCCCAAATTTTGCTGGACTTCTTATGTCAATTACTAATTGTTTAGCTTCAATTATATCAATTCTTGCTCCGTTAATTGTTGGACATATTGTTACGGAAGAAGTAATTTGATTTTTAATTGTTTTTTATCTATTCGCATTTTGCATACATATTAATGATTATTTTTATATTCCAGTCAGATGAATTTCAATGGCGAATAGTATTTTATATGTCGACTGCAATATATTTTTTGGGAAATTTAGTATTTATTATTCTTGGATCCGGAGAAGTTCAAAAATGGGATGATCCATTCCTTAATACTGGATCAATTGAATTGTCTGGAAAAATTTCAACAGTATCCGCTGATGTTACAGCAACATTTTAATATTATAAACGATTCATTATTTCTTTTAACAAATGATTATCATCATGAGCATTATTAAATATTATTTTTTAAAGTCAAATACCAAGTTATTATTACTAAAAATACCTCTCTAATTACTCAAATAAAATCTAGTTCATTTAAATAAAGTTAGTTAAACAATGATCAACTCTTGTATGTCATTAATTGATTGTAAATCAAACTTTTTATCAATTGCAATCAACTGATATGTATAGATTAATGGAAGATATCTCACAAAAAGTTAATAGCAATAAAAATATAAAATCAGGCCAAAAATGTTTGTGTCTTCTCCACCAACTATGAACATCAACTTGCTCGTGATTAGAAAGACAAGCATTGGCAAAATACCTTGGAAATCAACCACGTAATCGGCGAAACGACTGGAGGGGAACTTTTCGTACATATAGAGTGCCATAAACATCATTGACGCGTTTAATCTTTTGGAGTCATTGCCTAGATCGTAACGACGATTGGAAGACGATAGAGCAGGCAAAATCTGCACGTGAGAGGTTGTGGTTGAAGAAGTTAAAATTATCGTTGGTTCACCATTGGAAAAACAGTACTCAATATGACTCCAGGAATCCACAAAAGAAGAATTTCAAGGGCGGAGAATATGAAGGATCCATTAAATCGACCTAAAGGTAGTTAATTCTTATCTGCCACCAATACTTTATTAAATTTGCTAAACTTCCAATAATTAAAAAAACATTTGTTTACAATCTATTTACTAATTCGAATCAATTTATCAGCAAAGAAATATCTTACAATTTTGATCTAAATGATAAAATTTTTTCTCATTGATTATAATTTGATAGACAATTACATAAACTGTCGTATAATTATTTCATGTAATTGTGGCAAAATTGCAGGAAATTTCATTCAAACTCCTACATTGATACTAAATTCTATTCTATTACAAAAAATATCTCATTAGTAATTACAATCTTGTTGATGTCTGGAAACTTGAATGATTTAATCTATTTTTATTCTCAAGTGCAAATATTTGAAATTCCTTCTTGATAATATTTTATTTTTGCTACAGCATCAATAGGATGTCGACATGTCCAGGTCCTTATGTTAACCTTTGGATTTTTCTGCTGTTATGCTGTTAGAGTTGCCTTATCAATTTCACTGGTGGCTATGGTGAAAGATAATTTAGATAATCCAGAATTCAAACGTTTTGATTGGAACAGTAATATTCAAAATTGGATCCTCAGTTCTTTTTTCTGGGGTTACGTTATAACACATATACCCAGTGGTGAATTGGCTCAACGACTTGGAGCTCAAAAGTTTTTCTGCTTTGCTGTGGGACTTTGTGGCCTTCTAACAATGTTTATTCCCGTAGCAGCAACGTACGGTGGTTGGCAATTAGTTATTGTCCTCCGAGTGGCCACGGGCGCGTGTCAAGGTGTGGTACCACCATGTATACATTCCATTCTGTCTAAATGGGTACCAGTGGAAGAACGAGGAAGAGCTGGTAAGTTTTTAAGACACGTAATAATGAAAACCTTCAATAACTGATGGTCAAATTAATATATAAAAGGAAGCTGCACGTATTCTGGAGGTTGGTTTGGAAACGTGATTGCTCTATTAAGCTGCGGCATGATCTCAGGTTCGTCATTAGGATGGCCAGGCAGTTTCTACATCTGGGGGAGCATCACTATATTTTGGGCGGTGGTATACTACTTTATAGGCAAAGAATCACCAGCAGATCATCCCAATATACCTTACGATGAAAAAGAATACATTGAAACTAGTCTTGGAGTTACAGAAACTGTCGAAGTAAATATTCTCTTGATTTTTTATTCCTATTTTCCTTCATTATAACTTTTTTACAGCCATTAAAAACACCTTGGATTCCCATCTTGACCTCAGTACCAGTCTGGGCTCTATTGATTGCCCAATGTTCTCAAGCCTGGGGATTCTGGATGCTCCTGACAAAAACACCAACATATATGGATAATGCACTTGGCTACAAAATTGAAGAGGTAAAATTTCTTGTTGATACTTTTTGGAAGTGATATCCATCTCATATTTTGTGGATACAATTAAATTATTGTTTTAAATTGATCGAGGTCATTGCAATAAACAGTACTTGATTAGAAATCACCTAATCAATTTTATCGAATATACGTGCAAGGTTCTTTTGCTATCCAGTCATCAGTATGAGTGTAACAAGGTTACAGATGATAGTTCATCAACATTGTAGTCAATAGTGTATGCGAAAAATTATTGAGGCGACATAATATTTGCATAATGACGAAGAATAATGAAAAAACCTTGAAATTGTCTACTAGGTCATTCCTTCTCAGCTGGTTGATAAGGGTCAAGATCAACCGGAAAAAGCATGCGTGATGTGTATACATATCCTTATATCTATACATGATATTTGAATTGATAAATCTTTTACAGAACGGTGTATTCTCGGCGTTGCCGTATTTGGCAGCATGGTTAATAGGTTTTCCAATTAGCTTCGCATCGGACAAATTAGTGAAAAAAGGCTATGTGTCATTGCAAGCTATGAGAAAAATAGCTAATACAATAGGAGAATTTATACCAGCTGCTGCACTCATTGGTCTCAGTTTTATTACAAGCGAACATCGTAACATTGCCGTTGCTGTACTCATCGTATCTGTAGGATTTAATGTTGCTGTCTTTAGTGGCCATCAGATGAATCACATGGATCTTAGCCCGAACTTTGCAGGCACATTGATGGGTATTACGAATGCTACTGCTAACATATGCGGTATTCTAGCTCCACTTATTTATGGCATCATAGTTTCAGATCCGGTAAATAAAAAATATATGATTTATATATAAGTCGAGTATTACTTAATACTATTTCAGGTTTCTTATAACCAAACAATTCATCAATAAAAAAATTATTATTTTCAGACTAATATTACTCAATGGAGGAAAGTTTATTTACTTTCAGCAGCAATTTATATAATTGGTAATTTAGCATTTGTATTCTTTGGCAAAGCGACAGTACAGCCGTGGAATGATGATTTAAAGAAAACACAATTAATGAATGGAAATTTCGAAATTAAAAAGCCAGAAAAAAAAAATGAAAAAAATACTCTTAGTCATAGTATTTCATATTCTCAAAATACTCAACAAGATCTCAAATAACTTACATTTCTTTATCGCCACAATGCAAATGTTTCTATTTTTTATAAGTATTTATACTGTAAATAACTTTTATTTATAAGAATAAAGTCACTAATGTGTATAAAAATTTATTCATCTTTTATATATTCGTGTGAATTAGATTGCAAAAGTGCTTTTATGATAAAAATCATTCCCATGAATGTTATGAATAATGTAACATATGTTACGTAAACTTGATGAGACAAATTCCCGACAGGAATTATCCAAGTATAGTTTCCAGTCTTCTGTAACAATAACATCAACAACATTAGTTGTTATCCTTTATCTAATCTTTTGATAGTTAAATCACTTAATCTGTTAACCGTGGTATATGGAATTTCCCGCCATTTTAACGCTAATTCTACACAGGGCTGACAGAGATCAATTATGGATACTGAGTATTCCCTAATACGTTGTTTACATCCAAAAAGCAATTTTGGTTTTGAGAGGGTTACATTGATATATTCTTCATTATAACGTGCTCTTTGATATCTTTGATGAAGTGTTAATTTAAATTCATTCGATGTAGATTTATTAGCGCAAATAGTTATTTGTTGTGGTTTTGCTGCTTCAGCAAACAATTCAACATCAGTTTCTCCAACACAACATACTTTTGTCTGCAACAGATTATTAACTCCAAATTTATTTAAGTTTATCATAAATAATGATAACAATAAAAAATAATAGCAACATTAAAAACAGTATGTATTGATAATAAAAAAATTTTAATTACTCAACAGTCACGTGTTAGATTTTGTCATTGTAGGATATTTAATTCGTCAGAATAAATTCATATACTTACATTGCCAAATTTGTCCACGTCTGAAAACTCATCAACATTGACGAATACCGCTGACGGAAGATTTAACGACAATGCAATATAGCAATCATTGTTAACTATTTCTTCAGATGTTACATGATAAATAATCGTCCTAACAAATGAAAGTAAATATTTATTATCCATTTTGTTGAATCAATTGTTTTTGAATCAAAAAAATTAACCTATGAAATCCATCGCCGTCAACACGGAAATCAAGTTGAGAATTAAATACTTTATCATGTGTTAACGTAATTGAAATACAAACTAAAATGAAAATTAATTGAATCAAATAATATTTATTGTGTGTCATTTTGTGCTAGAGTTTATTTAAAATTATTTCGATTACAAACAAGACTGTAACAACGTAAATATCTATACACCACATGGAGCATCTAGTACGTGCACTGACCAGAAGTGGCACAACAAACTAAGGACTAATTCAATTGATGATATAACAGAAATTTGCTTTTTTTAATAAATTTTTAAATAAATAATAAATAAATTTATAGTAATACACACTTAATCAAACGTAGTTTTCTTTATCCTAATTTTATCAAGACAACGATACAGCCTCTTTAAAGCGAGACTTGCACTTAATAATTTTTAATTATATAATTATTGTTTCATTGATTGGTATAAGTGAAAATGAATATTATAGTTATTATTGATTATAATAATACTAATAATTGCTAAAGCATCGAGCCATTGATCAACAATGAGCCAAAAATATATATCTGCAAAATATTCGATTAATAGCTGTTTGGTGTTGTAAATTTATTTTCTTCTATAACATATACTTATATTTTACTTATATTTTGTATGATGTACACTTATTATTATTATTCTATACTTTAATTTATATTGTGTTTATAATTGTTCTTGTTGTCAGTAACTTATTATGTTTATCATTACCATTAATTATATGAATACTATTAATGCAGTTCCATAACATTAAAGTCATGGTTCAGTTTATAGATAGATTTATATTCATAAATCTAAAAGACATTCAAATTATTAACTCCAAAACTCATCATTATTTTACTAGATTATATCAGATAAAAACACATTAATCTACAATTGATATTTAAAATAAATAAATAAAATAAATTTCATAAAACACCTGTAAACTGATTGTTTAGTATATAAGAAAATCTTATGTACCATTTTCCATTATTTCAACAACTATTGTATGACGATGAATCTTATCGTGAAACACATGATCGGTATATGCCAGCATTTACGTCTTGCAATTCACTATTTGGTATAAACTCGTGATGCCTCAGAATGAATTAAATTGCTAGTTATAATTATTAATAGTGTCTATACTTTATTATTACGCTATACTTTACGCATTTTTATACTTAAAAAATCTTTTAAACTTGTTATGTTCAGATGATAAATATTGATGATAATTGATCTGGCAAAAGTATATTATGTTTTATTTTATCCACATGTTCACAATATTTCCATATTTATAATTTCCAATACGATGTGTCAACAATAACTGACATTAATACCTTGAAAACATCAATGCAAAGGCAATTATTGAGTTTAATCGTATCATATTTGTTATCTTTAGTCTTCTAAGCTCATAAATTTCATATTGATGCATTTTTACAAATTACGATAACACTTGTATTATAAACCAACAATAAAAGTTTAATCATGTATTTGTAACACGCGTCAAAAATTTTACACGGTATTGGTGATAAAATAATGTAATGTTAAATTTTATATTTACATTATTTATAATGTAATTTTACTTAATAATTCATGTATTATGGACGTAATTTATATAATAATACCATACTGCATTTTTCCATAAATGTTTAAAATAAATTAATTAAATAACGGATCTAAATATTTCAGATTGCAAGTCCTGTAATTTAGCGTACATTAAAACCTTTCACGCGAATTTAATAACCATTAAGTTGGTCTTCTGTTCTAAGTGCCATTTTGCAATTGCAAATAGTTTAATTTATTCGCTTGTAGTGTTTTCTTATTGAGGTAGACGAGTATATTCTCCAAATAGCCTCTCATAGCTTTGAGTAACGCTCAAATGATAAATTAAAAAATTTAATAAACTAAATATTTTTTGAAAAATTTTGTATTCTACTCTTTTCATTGTTCGAAAACTATCCAATTAATTTAATTTAAGCGCACTATAAATATTAATCCAACTGAAAAATTTATGATCACAAGTAAATATGATAGTTAATTCATTACTTTTAATCCTCCATCATAAATAGTAATAATTTTTTTTTATATCTTGCAAAAAAGTGTTTTTAAAATTCCAGACAACACAAAATCGAGTTTAAAAAAATTAAACCATAAATCACGTCAACTATTTTCGAACATTCTCTTTACCATGCTAATAAAACATATTTTGACTGTTATGCCCGTTTATATTAATGAATAGTTATCTATATATAATTTAAGTATTTCGAATACTGCAGAGTAAATTTACCTAGATTATCTTGCATCGTTTACACAGTAATCGACAGAATTATGATGAGAACTTTGGAGTCCAATTCACAACTCTTTTTTTTATAGGTAAATATAATGAATTAAACTAGAGGCTCGTCCAGGTCCATTTCTTCAACTGTGATATATAGACCTTCTTGTTCATACGTCGATTCATGTTTTGCCAAAACTTTTAAGAGAGGACGAAGTTTCATCCACCATTGGTAAGTTGGAATACGGTGTCTACATAATAAAATTAACATTAATATAATCATTTCATTTAATTGATTTTGCTTGATAAGTTTAAAGACTTACTCAAAATCTGTGTGATCGACAAGTTCAGCTAATGGAGTGTATCGGTATTGACGTTTTATAATACCTAACATTACTGCTGAAGTAGAGTCAGCAGCTATGACTTGACCTTCGGCATTTGTACATTTTTTTAGTTCAGTACTGAACCATTCAACGGCTTTTGCACCCATTTTTGTTCCCAAGTTACGATCGAATGGAGTTGGTGAACCACCTTGTTGCATGTGACCTGAAATATAAAAAAATAAAACATCTCTGATTCTCTATTCATTTTTATTAAAGCTGATTAATATTGAAGCGTGATAATATTATCTTACCAATAATATTTGATCGACAGCTGAATAAACCTTTTCCCTCTTCACTGAAGAGTCTTTGCATAAAATCTGTGTTATAATTGAGATTAGAATTTTCATTTCTAAGAATAAGACCCCTTTGAACCCCTTCAGACATTTTAGCAGCCATTGCAACAACATCTTGGTTTAAATCTTTGATATTAAATTTCTCTTCAAATATATAAGCTGCATCTGCACCACCTGCAAGTCCAGCAAGTGTTGCTAAATATCCACAATAGCCGCCCATAGTTTCAATAATAAAGACACGACGTTTTGTTCCTTGAGCTGATTGACGAATACGATCACAAATCTAAAATATTTATCACACATATATTCTTTTTTATCTGTAGAAAAATTCTCTATATAAAATAGCAATTATTTAATCATCGAAAGTATTATTACTTCAGTAATTTCATTCAAAGCAGTATCACAACCGAGAGAAAACTCTGTGCCAGGAACATTGTTACTAATTGTGGCAGGAATCATGGCAATAGGTATTTTAAATTCATCCCATTTATCTCGGCCTTTCAGGAATGTTAGACACGTTTGATATCCTTCAAATCCGCCAATAACAAGAAGACCTTGTATTCCAAATTCTTTTAAACGCGCAGCAATTTGCGGCAATTGCTCGTCTTTCGGTGGAGCACGTTTGGTACCAAGATAAGCACCTCCTTGAGCAACCCATCCTGTCACAGAAGGCCAATCCATGAGCTTAAGCTTACCAGCAGCAAGTCCCATTACACCGTCACAAACTCCATAAACTTTATCTCCTCGATAGATGCAATTTCTAACAAATGAACGAACTGCTGCATTCATTCCACAGGACGGAGAACCAACGTGCATTACTGCCAAAGTGTAGTGATCCTGAGAAAAGTAATTTTTTTTTAACATAGATATAAGTATAGGTATATTTTATTATTAGCGAAAATGCAATTTACATTTGACAGAAATTTTTTTAAGTATTAAAGGAAATAGATATCAAATTCATGCATTTATGTTATTAAATTTAACTTACTTGACCACAAAGAGTATGTTGCTAGGAATAAATTAATCTAATTAATACCATTATTAGGATTCAATTTATTACGATTATTAATTATCATTCAATTTAATTAATACTCCTAATAATTGTCTTACGAATATATTTTTAATAAAGTTTAAACATTATTCTTGTTAAGATTTACCTTTAACAAAAACCCATCAATACTATTCTGCAGCATTCAATTAATTTATAGATATGAGATTAATATTTAGTTTAATAATTCCATATTTTATATTCATTAACAATAAATTTTTTTTTATTAATAAAATTAATAAAAATTTTTAAATTCCGTGAAAATTCAATTAGTAATTCGAGAAATTATTTAACAAATCAAAGCATGATAAATAAAAGAGTCTAATAAGTTTTTTATGAAATTCATCTTCACCTTATTAGTGTCTGTAACTCCAATAGGAGCCTTTAACCGTGTAAGCATTTTGTATGTTTCCAGATTACGAGCAAATCCTCTAAAAAAGCAATTATAAATTATAACATTTTCAAAATTTTGAAATTTCTATACAATCTATTTACTAACTTTCCACGTAATTGAACAGCAAGATCCCAATTTTTATCAGCCATAGCCTGAGCTACAGCTTTAGTACGATTCACACAGTCCATTAAAGGTAATCGAACAGCTTGATTGCCATCAAGAGTAACAACACAAGCTTCAGTATCCGGTGTCGCCTCCATCAAAGCCATTACAGCCTCTGCACCCATTCTACATCCCTATAAAAAAATGTTTTACCCATTAGAATCTTTTATTTCTTATGAGAGCTTTCAACTTTTTTTTGTTACAAATTGGCTATAATATTTGAACAGATGTTTGAATAATTTTAAAAATAAACGAACCAAAACTCTGTCAAAAGCTGACGGGTTTCCACCGCGTTGTACGTGACCAAGGACAGTTATTCTTGTATCTTGCTGTAGTTTATTTACCACGACTTCACGCACTTTTTCAGCAGTTATAGGATCACCATTTCGATCTACTGCTCCTTCAGCAACGATAATAATGTTTAAACGTTGACCAGTTAAACGTTCCTAAAGATATGTTATCAAATAAATATATATATATATATATATATATTATTATATTCTTATTTTTATTCACATTATAAAAAACATATTATACAAAATTATAAACAGAAAACAAGGTGTAAAGAACTTCTTTAGTTGGTTAATCGAAATAAAAATTTTTAAATGATATATAATTGTAATATTCTATTTATAAATAATCATATGAATTTTATTAATTTCAAACAAACTGCAAAGGCATGCTGAAATTTTAAAAAAGCATACAACAAATAGCGTACTGAATGAATGAAGTGATAATTTAAAAAGAATTATTTTAAATAATTTTGAATTCTGCTTTCTGTAAATATTTATTGAAAAATAGATTTTTATTTTAACCTAAATATTTATGGAAAGAATAAATTTTTTAAATATTCACTTAAGTGATCATAAGGATAGAATTTTTTTTTATAAAAAAAAAATTATCGAACCTGCAACAACTTTTTGCAGAGCTTGTTAGGCCAATCTTGCTCAGGTGGCCACTCAGGGATGAACACAAAATCTGCTTCGGAACACATAGCTGCCACTAGAGCCAGGTAGCTGTAATATGATATCATGATACCTAATCTGCACTACGAAGAATATACATTGTATATAAAATAGTTAGCATAAAACGAAAGTCCAATATTAATACCGAGATTGATTGAATGAATGGAAACAAATTTTCAAATAATTATTAGTTTTCTAATGAAATAAAAAAGGATCTTTAGCCTACTCTAGGAGCTTTCAAAATTTCTTTTGTAATTGATTGTTAATTAAAAAAAAAATCAACTATTTGGTGGTATTTATTCTCATAATCTAGCCATGATACGTATTCGGAAACGATAATTAATAACATGCCTGTCGCAATATCTTGCAAAGTTTATCAGGCCAGCCCTTATCCGGTGGATCTTCAGGAATAAAAGTATAAGAAATTTCCGAAGCTAACGACGAAGCTATTGCCAAGTACCTGAAATTCTCTAACTCTTTATTATAATATCACTTTTAACAGATGTTCATATCGCGCAAAACAAAACTTTCAAGAAATAATTCTAAGCTAAATGATAATGAAAATTCGATACAACAATAAATAAATCGATCAACACAACAATATATCAAATCACTCCATTAGTTTCTTAAGAAGTTAGTGAGAAAATTATTAGATGCATTTTAAAATTCATCCCAAACGATTTTAAAAAAATATATAAAAGTTCGAATATCATTGACATGCCTGTTCCAATTTTTTACATAATTTATCAGGCCAGTCGGCAGGGGGTGGAGATTCTGGAAAGAATACGTAGTCTGCCTCAGCAGCTAACGCGCCCACAATTGCCAAGTACCTAGCCAAAGTTATAACTTATTTTGCATAATAGTAATAATTAAATAAATCTGCTCCTCAGAATTTCTTATTGGTTTCAATTATCGTAAAAAAAATATTCAATCATCTAATGTATAGTTCCATAAAACTTATGTGTATTATCTCATTCAGTCTTGATATTCTTTGAGACACAAATTATATAAAAGAACTGTGACTAAATATATCAGCCGTTTTTAATATAAAGAAACTTGTTTGTCTCATTTTTTATACTTGACAAGACTGAAAGAAAAATCGGAGGCTTTTAAAAAATTCGTTAAAGATCAGTTCTAATGCACTTAACAAATTGTCAGATCTTTTTTTTGTTTTTCGTGTTTTTTTTTTATCTATTAACGTACCCACAATGACGGCCCATGACCTCCATAATGAACGTACGCTGATGAGAATATGCAGTACTGACAATAGCATCTATACTTTCAATAATACGATGTAGTGCCGAATCTGTTCCAATTGTCATGTCTGTACCACAAAAATCGTTGTCAATTGAACCGACCATTCCAGCAATGTGCAAATGGGAATATTTCTCAACTTGTTCAGCAGTAATTTCACCTAGAAAAAAAAGTGTTGTTGGTTTAATAGTTCCTGTAATTTATTTATGGATGAAAAGTAATTAGTTTGAAAAGCACCTTTTTCTTTTAATTCTTTCAATAATCCAGAGTACTCTGATTTGAACAGATTGGCGCCTGTAAGTGAACCATCACCTCCAATAACAACTAAATTCGTGATGCCACGGGTCACTAAATTTTTTGCAGCTCTAAGACGGCCAGCACGTTCTCTGAAATCCGTACATCTTGCTGAACCTATCATAGTACCTCCCTAAAAATGAATAATTTTATTAATTATAATGTAAAAAGTCAATTTATTGGCTAGGAAATTTTTAAGTATTTAAGAAATAAATTTTTATTTAGGAAATATGATATGATAAATATTGAAATTACCCGATGAATGATGCAAGAAACCGAGGACCAATTTGCTTCAACGATATTGTCTCCTCCGTCTACCATTCCTTGATATCCTTCTTTGATGAAAAATACTTTGCATCCCAAATAAATACCCATTCGAACTACAGCACGGACAGCTGCATTCATACCTACAGTATAGAAAGATCGGTTATTACATCATCTTTTAATTCTTATTATATTTTTTACCAATTAAATTAAATTAACACTACTTATTAAAAATATAAAATAATTATGAATTCTTTTACCTTGAGAATCACCTCCACTGGTGAATACAGCAAGCCCTTTACCTTTATGACTTCCGGGCTTGATGAATTTCGAAGACGCTTGATCATCGGCCAGAATTTTCTTATATGTATCCATCATCTAAAAATAAAAAATGTGATTAATTTTTTTATATTAAACCTTAGCAAAAATTCGTTTTTTTTTAAATTTAATACTTAAGAAGTATTAAGATAACTTGATAGATCATTAATCTCTGTGTTCATTATCAGGTGCGAAACTAATGAATCATAAAGGATAGTTTTTAAAAATTTTTATTACAATGCAAACGTAATTAAATCTATATAAATCAATTTTATGATTAATAATTTCTTTAATAATTGTTAGGAATTTATCTTTATAAATAAAGATATTGCATAGAATAATTTTTTTGATCCTCTAAAAATAAGTTCATTCATAAGGAAAATTATTGGGGAAACTCCGATTTCCATTACAATGTACTTCTAGCGTGATTTTTTTTTATAAAACCCTCTAATTCTGTAGTCCACAATTGTGCCCATCTCTAAACTCATGTGAGGCCGAAACTTATAGTATCAATATTTCGAAAACTAAGCGAGATATTACAAAAATGTATTCTTTATTTTTGTCTTATTTTGGGATGTTTATCGAAATTCATTGTCATATTGTGATGCCACGGAAACCGTAGTCGTGTTGAAAAAAAAGTGTAAAACTTTTTTTTTTTAATGTACCGTTCACATGTTTATCGAGAGCCATGTGATCCTAGACCTAATCAATCAACCTTGACAATTGTAGTTGAGCTGACATTTGATTGTTCATGAAAGTTAAAACATGATATAATGAATAAAAATGCTTACTTTTTCATTTAACAAAATTTAATAAATTAATAATAAATGACATACTATTTATTTGATAATAAAAAGAATACTGGGTATTATAAGAGTATATTAAAAGCATCAAATGTTAAATAAAAATTGAGTGCTAAAATTTTTTAGGATTTGACATCTAACCTCTTTATTGATATTTTATGAAGTTCGATTAGATGTAAGGGTCAAATAAAATTAGATAACGATTGAGAAGCATGTAAATGACAGTTTAAATGACGCATACTAAATGACACAACTGATAAACTTGAATAATCACAAAACACAAATGTTTATACACTTACTTAGAATTAGATATTGGCAGAAAATGAAAAGACAATCACTATTTTTGTCTTAAGATGTATGTAACAATTTTAAATTCACTTAAATTGTCTGTAAGCTTTATAAGAAGTTACCTGCACGTCGTTCTGACCACTTCTGTCGTCTGAAGGTGACCTTATACGTTTGCTCATGTGTTTAACCGCCCAAACCCCGCGGCTCAACAACCCCTCTCTCGATAAAACCTCACGAAAAACGCAATAGTCGAGTGAAATATCATCAGATGGCATAACTATCATGATCAAACAACCAATGACAATTTTGCAATGGAATGTGTATTATTTTTTATTATTTAAATAATTTCGACAATTTTGAATGTTTAAAAAATTTTATAAATAATTCATACCTACAATTCTTTCCTCTTTTTATCGATTTTTGTAATATTATTGGAAATTTAAAGTTATTTGTAACAATTATGATGAAAGAATGATATTTATGATGTAATTATTAGTGAGATTCAGTGAATGAAAAAGCGTTTAATAAATTAATAGTCTTATTTAAGAAAAAATAAAGTGTCGATTCTACTTTTAAAAGAGGTAATTGTTTAATTTTTAACTCAATTCTTTCCCTTATAATTTTTTAATATTTTATTCATTTAATAAAAAGTAACTGTTGTTTTTTTGTTTATAATACCATTAAAGCTATTATTAGTATTTATAAATGACCTACATTATATTTTTATTTATCATTTAGATGTATGAATTGTATTCCTTCAAGGTATAATAATAATAATAATAATAATAATAATAATAAAAGGTACAACTTACCGTTAATATTTCGTCATCCAGCTCTTATTGAACAAGCGAATATTTTTCTGAGGTGGATGGATTAAAATCCTTGCGATTACGTGCTAAAAGTCACGACATGAATCAAGAAGAAATTATAGGAAATTAAACTGAAAATATCTACGTTAGTCCTATCTGAAAAAAAATATTCTCTAATCACGAGCTTTGGAGTGGAAAAAGAATTAATACTTTTTCGACGCTTTTACAGTTTATTTACAAACAATCGTCCCGCACAGATTTTTTTTCATCTATTAATTTAGCTGATTATCCATGGATTCTTATATTAAAATTGAAGAAACTAGCCTACAATTTTTATTTTTTCCGATACGAAGATTATAGGACACCTATAGGAAATTGCAAAAACTTTTTTGAAAGCATCTGTAAATTAAAAAAAAAAATATCTAAAGGAGGGTTTTTTTATAAACTAAATAGTTTACAAATGAGCATGAGTATGTTATTTGAATTCTATCAAGTAAAAAGATCTTTCAGTAATTACTTCTTTCACACAGAAATATAATATAATTGTTCCCTCGTTTACACTAAATTCAACTTAAAAATTTCCCCAGTATTTAACAACAAGAAACATCGATTGTTGATTATCAATATATAAATTGTACAGAAAATTCTAAATTTATAACTCTTACATTTATTTTACATAAATTTTTTGAAATTAAAATTAAACTTTGTATTAAATAGTGATTTTTCTGTATGAAAGAGTCAATCGATAAACAAAAATGCACAAATTAATAAAGAATATTTATAAAAAATCGAAAGAAACCCTATTCAATTGACTGAAAAGAAATAAAACGTAAATGGTAAAAATCTTATGTTTTTAATAATTGATCCACGCAACAATTGTTTATTTCAAAGGAATTGCATGGTCTTTAAATTCTAAATGATCTAGCTTTTAGCAATACCCTCATATATCGACTATACGTATAAATTGTGCAAAAAATTTCATAGCATGTTAGTATTAGATAGGCCCTTTGTGTTGAAAAAGGCACATACACATATCTACACATGTCTGCAACACGTATTCAAGTGTATACAACGAGAAAAGGAAGAGAAGAAATGCACTCGATATAATAATTATAATAATAGTAATTAGTCATCATATGAACAATTAAATAATAAATAACAACTTTATCACGTCTCGAGTTATGTTGTCAGTCAATCCTATGCCTCATTTAATGAAAACCATTAAATATTTTTCTTATATTTATCTTCTTGCTGCACATCACACCTCTTTTTATTAAGGATCCTGTTTATTAAATTCATTCATTTATTATTCTTCATGCAATTTATCCCATGTGAATTATAGGAAACTATCGCATTGAATTCATACTTTGCTTACGACTGTTTTTCAGACATTTTATCAGAATTTATTATTATTTCGTGTAAACGTTTATAATAATTATAATTTACAATTACGATGATTGATGATAAATACAAATAGAACAACGTAATTAGGAAATTGGGGGAATGGTTGGGAAAAAAGGTATTTGGGTAGTGATTTTGTTTCTTTTTTGTTTGCTCTCTTGCTTGAGTCTTTTCTTTGCACGTCTTCTGCTGTTATCTCTTGTAGTCGAGTTTTCTCAAAATTGTCAAGAAAGGGCCGTGTTTGTTGCAGTGATGATAGAGAAATAACCTCTTATATAATATATTTTCTTGAATTAAATAATTCATTAATCATTTTATATTTCAATCATTTTTATCTAAATAAATGAAAAAATTATATAAATTAACCGTCGTAACCACAATAGAAATATTTGTCTTTGGGGGATCAGGATTATATTAATTTAACGAATTTTATGAATAACGTAATAATAAAGGAAGTTGAGTGCAAAATTGTTGAAGGATATAACAGTGAGTTGATGAAGTTATATTTAGGAAGAAAATAATTCAATGACTTAATTTTTAATTTAACGAATTGACAAGACAAAAAACGAGATTGAAGAAGCACAAAATCCTTCGTTAAATAATTTAAATTGTTAATTGACTTTTAACAATGATATAAATGACCATGACAAGAAAAACGTGATCATTATTAAACAATTTAACAGGCACACGTATCTGTAATGGATTCGAGCTTGTATTTTTTTCACTTAGCATGCTGATTGTTTTTTTCCTGTACTTTTGACAAACACCAATACATTGAAAAATATCAACACGACAGCGAAACGTTTATTCAAACGTATAATATCAATTGTTGAACTTGTTTGTCCGTAATGTACATATAAATGCATCAGAGAAAGAGCGCTCATTTTGCATGTAATATGTTTTTTTTATATCATTAGATTTCTTATTTTTATGCACGCGTAATTTTATATATACAATACATCAAATGTATTGTTAAACAACAATGACGAGAAATAGAGATTCCATTTTTCTCTCGAAGTCGCAGTTAAAACTGGAAGGATCTTAGTGCATAGATAATGTTAGTTGTTTGTTTTTTAATTACTTTATTTTTTATAGTCAATTAATTAATTAATTAATTAATTACTGTAGAAAGTAATTCGCGTCTTTTCTTTCTACACACGCTTTTTATTTAATATATATTTTTTTCTTTTATTTCATCATTTAACGAACACGAGTCTTCCCGACTGTAGATGACCAAGAGTTGTTTTTTCCACTTACAACAATTCATCGTTTATTTTTATTTATTTTTTTTCTATACCCAAAAAAGCAACTGAATCGAAAGTTCCGACACATCCTTACGACGGAAATAAAAAAAAGAATTGAATGAAAAAGCGACAAGAGCTAAGAATGCCAGGAATTATTTAACAAAAATGTACAGCATACAATAAATATGGTTTTAATTTTTTTTATCCTCTCTCGACTTCATTCTTTAACACGAATTATTTTTATTAAATATGTCCGGCATAAATATTTATAGTATACATTATATGAATGGAAAAAAAGGAATTAAAACAAGTTAGATAGGGAAAGATAATAATATAAATCAACATACAAATTTGTGTTCTTGAGAGAAAGAGGATTATGCTCATGAGAATATTAATTTATCTCTTGTGATATTATTACGTAATTGTCGATAAAAATTGAAGCCTTTTGCAAAATTGTTACAAATAATACAAAACCCTCTCTAGATATCTCATTACACAACGAAGAGAGAGAAAAGGAGATTAACTATATTTTTTTTAGTGAATTCAGTAATTTTTCAGAGGCGAACGAGTTTTGATGATGGTGATAAATAATAATAAAATTATATTTATATTAATATTAATAATAATAATAATAATAAAATAAAAAAGGAGAAGGAAAGCGAATACGAGAGAAAAAGACGTGCTTTTTACAAGATAGTCGTAAGCATTTTTTTTTCAATACGTGAATCAAATGAAAAAAAAAACTAAGTTACCACTGATGTTATTTGGAACTTAATAACTTAATGTATTTTTTTACTCTCCTTTCTCCTCATGCGCTCTTTCCTTCGTATAATAATATTGTACTCGCTAGACAATGTGAACTTTAATTTAAAATGACGACTGGATATAATATAGTAGATTGATGGGTGTATCTTCCTTTTTCATTCAATTAATTTTTTTACTTGATTTTCCGCTTCAACATCAATCCTCGTTTTCTTATGTCCATTGCCATACACATTGGATGTTTTTGTATGAACCGGTAGAGTAATAAGTAAATCGAATATAGCGACGGTGCGATACTAAGTTGTCTCCCCTTATATCTTCTTTTTCGTCTATTTGTCTTTACTCTCCTCATTGGCATCGATTTTCCACTAAACCTTCTTTTTTCCTCTTTCTCTCTCTCTTTCTCTGCTTCATCTTTGATATTTTTTCCGTCGAATTATAAATCTCCACCTCTCTCACGCACATCCCATATTAATTTCTCTGACTCATCTTCTTTTATTCCCCCTCTTTCTTGATGTTTGTCTGATTCCCTCACTCTACAGATAGCAGTTCATCAATTTATTAAAATTTCTCAAGTATTATTTGTCATCATCTCAATTAAACACATAATCTAGTTGTTTTCATAGCCATTTTGTTGGTATTTGATGAATATTATTTCGCTTTAACTGGACATACTACTCTAGTAACAAGTTTCTCTTGAAGCAAAATTATTATCATAATATTCCAGTCCATTTGCAACTGCATAAATTGTTTTCAAAGGAAAAGAGAAAGAGAGAGAGAGAGAGGTCCAGAGATCAATAATTTCTTCCTGGTCTGTCGTCGTACGCATCCAACGATACGACGTGATAGCGGCAGTCAATGTATGCTACTCGCATGGGGAAATAGGTTGTCTGCCAAAGAGAGGATTGAGGAAATGAAGTTGGAGGAGAGGAAATCGATGAGGTCAGACTGGTAGGAAGGTGTACGGAGAACGGGAATTGCGCGAAAAATGTCGGGGATTTGGTGAAATGGATCGATGGATAAATGGTAAGTAAGGACTAATGATTGTGAGCTCTTGAAGGAATAGGGACAAGGGCGGGGAACGATAGAGAATAGGTTCTTATTAGATTAAGAAAAGGTAGGACTTAATCTTAGGAGGGTTAGTTATCGCCAGCCTCCTGTGGTTCGTCCCCATCGCCCTGCGTATCGCTGGTCCAGAGCGTGAGGTTGTCACGCAACAGCTGCATGATTAACGTGGAATCTTTGTAACTATCTTCATTCAATGTGTCCAATTCCGCAATCGCATCATCGAACGCCTAAAAAATAATCATTTAGTCAATTATTATATTACTTGTTATTATCTATATAATATTTCATTAATATTTGAACTCGGAAGAGAAGTTAATGAATGGCTATTCTATTCATTTTACTTGCTTTCGACCAAAAACAAATGCGATAAGTTTGATTTCTCAATTGCTTTTGGTGGCTATTGTAAAAATTTATTGACACTACTGTAATAGTTAGTAACTCAAATATTTTTCAAGTAATGCTAACACATTTTGCATTCTAAATAGGTGGTTCATTTTTGAGATAATTAATTATGCAAAAAGCATAAATGACAGAGTAATTAATGGATTTATGTTCTACTTCGTTTTGGAAAATCTGTATTAATAATTATTGTCATTTTCTGATAATAAGAGGATGGTTAGTGGTACAATAGAGACATCGCTTAACAAATGGCAATCATTTTAGGTATATTAATAAAGTAATAGATAAATTGACCTTGATCATTCTAAATAAATTTTAGTTTCATTTAAAGTGCAAACACAAACGTTAGACCGAACCTGCTTAGCTAAGTGACAAGCTCTGGCTGGGGAATTTATAATTTCATAATAAAAAACGGAGAAGTTGAGTGCAAGACCGAGCCTGATGGGATGTGTAGGCTGCATTTTTGCCTTTGCTATGTCAAACGCCTCTTGGTACGCCTTCTGTGAATCTTCAACCACGGCTGTAACGCAAATTATAACAAAAAAAAAGGATAAAGAATAATTACTGAATAGATGAAAAATTTTTTTTCATAATTCTTCAAAATCGGTTAAAATATCAAACATTGAATTAAAAACAACTAGATCATGAGCAATTGATCAAACACATTTAGTATCAAAAACTCAACTCAATTAATGATTGCAAACAATTAAAGGATGTCTCCATCAAAGGATTTTTCTTTTATTCGGCATCTAGAAGTACTATTGCTCCTGCACCATTTCACCATCCTCTTTTTGTATTTTTATCAATTTTATTCAAAGTAACTAACGACCTGGAACGATAGCAATAGTGTTAATAAAGTAGCAATAATACCTGTTTGGCCAGTTGACACGCCCTGTCTGGCGAGTTTAGGATCTCATAATAGAAGACTGAGAAGTTCAGCGCAAGACCTAGCCTGATTGGGTGAGTAGGTTGCATCTTCTCCTTACTGATCTCAAACGCATCTTGGTACGCTTTCTGGCTGTCATTTACCACGGCTGTACATGCGTAAGTTAGAATAATCAACATGATACAACAACCACTTAATTAAACAGTTAGTAATTTTTATTATTTCATGCACACTTGCATTTATTTTTCAATATTTCAGGCGCAATCGAGCCTCAGTGTAATTTATTATTGATTCCGTCACGCAATTGATAAAATTTTTTATTTGTACTGGTTTCTCGATTCAACAAGTGTTTCAATGAAATATCACCATTTGTTATGAATTACTTTGTTGATAATATTTACCAGTTCAAATAAATTTTTGCTTCTTTAAAATAGTTCAATAATATTATTGAATTTTTCTGAACAACATTTGTAAGCAATAAAAAATATTTCATGTTTGATTAGTCTCATAGTAATAATATAAGAAATACCTACTGTTTCTGGTTTCACCAGTTGCGACTTCCGCAAGATACCTGTAGTAGTCACCCTTCATCTTAAGGTAAAATACTTTGCTTTCGGCATTACTAGCCTTCGGAATCAGGTACTTGTCCAGAAGACCCTGAATCAAAAGAAAAACAAGATTACATTTTGCTTATGAATTCAAACCCATAACTAAATTGATTCAAAAAAATTGTTGACATAAATATCTATGTGGATATATAATTGCCTAACATTTATCTTTAGAAACCAGAAATAGAAATGTCTCAATTAAAATATCTATTGGCTAATTGGTTTCTTCTATTTGTTATAAGTTCATATCGAAATATTTTGTACATTTTGTTTGTTAAGCTACTAAGTAACCAGAAACTTTATCAACAAAATCCATACTCTTAATTAATTAATAAAAATTTATGAAAATATAATAATTATTATTGTTGATTGGCATTTAATTTGATCATGAATATATATAATATATTAATTTGATACAATATTTACGATAATTGACTCTCTTTTGTTCAAACCATTTAATATAGATAGAAAATTTTAAACATTTAGTTGCCAACTATTATTTGGAACTCAACAAAATCTTATTTTCTCTGCTTCACACTTCTTATTTCTAATTAATTCTTATATTATTGACGCTAGATCTATGTTTGTCTATAAATATTTAGATTTCTACTTATTTAAAGTAACAAATTTTATTATAATCATATCTCAAAGTATTTTCAATGATCGTCCAAGGCTGTTGAGTTGCATCGCTTTTTCCTCTTCTATTTCCTATCTATTTCCGATTTCGTTAAACGCACTCATCAGAACTCTATATAATCTGATACTTGTTTTTTTATTCCTGCATGGATATTAATAGCAGTAGTATTGTGTTGAAGTATGGTGTCCATAATGAATTTGATATCAGACGCTACATAAAATAATCGGACAGCAAGATACAATAACTACATTGAATAATAAATTGATTCAAATTGAAATAGTGACGGATGTGATTGATACGAAAAAAAAAAAAATTTTTTTATAACAAAACGATAAAATATAGCTATCAGTTTTTCAGCGAATAGATAAATAAATATTCTTACTCTGATTTTCCAAATATTTTCTTCATATAATTTTTGATGATT